CCTAAACCAGACAAAAGGCATCAACTACAGACTAGTAGCTCTTGTGAATATTGATGTAAGAGTTCTCAATAATATACTATCAAGTCCACGAATATATAAAAAGGATTATACAACATCACTAAGTGGGATTTATCCCAGAAATGCAAGCTTGGTAGAACATCCAGAATTAGTATAATACACTACATCAATAACAATAAAAACATGATCATCTCCACAGATGCAGAAATAGCACTTGGCAGGTGGGGGAGGGAAGATACCCTTTCATGATAAAAAGAAACACCCACCCACTCACCCATTCACCCCGCAAACCAGAAATGGAAAGGAACTTGCACCTGGCTAAGAGCATCTAATACAAGCTAACCTCACACCCCGTGGTGAAAAACAGAGAGCGTTCTTCCGAGCAGGAACAAGACTACCTGTTCTCACCACTTCTCTTCAACACTGTACTGGAAGTTCTAGCCAGGCCGGTTAGGCAAGAAAATAAGGCAACCATGTAGAGATAATTTTATTTCTGTCCTATTTGCAAATAACAAGATCTTGTATGTATTGAGAGAAATCCACTAAAAAACTAATCTAATGAGGTCAGCAAGTCTGCAGGATACGAGGTTCAACATACAAACATCAAGTGCATTTCTATAAAGTAGCAATGAGCAAACAAAATCAGATTATGAAAATAATGCCCTTTATCATTTTTGATGCCACTATAATTTAAAAAACAAAATCATGCAATACCTGTACTCTGAAACTATAAAACACTGTTTAAAATTAAAGACCTAAAATGGAACGAAACTCCATGTCCATGGATAATACTGCCAAGATGGCAATACTCCCTAAATAAACCTACAGATTTAACATCATCCCTTTGAAAAATCCAGCTGACATCTTTGCAGACATTAAAAACCTGGCCCTAAAACTCACATGGAAATTCAAGAGGACTGGAATAACCAAAACAACCTTGAGAAACAAAGTCAGAGGGCTCACACTTCAACTTCAAAACGTACTAGAAAATTAAAATCATTAAAACAGCACTAGCATAAGGACAGAGGTCAATGGCCTAGAATCTGGAGTCCAGAAATAAATCTTCCCACTTATAGTCAATTGATCTTTGACAAGGGAACCAAGATAATCCACTGGGGAAAAAAGGACTCCACAAATGGAGCGGGGACAACTGGTTATCCATATGCAAAAAGATGAAATTGAATCACTACACTCCACACCATATAGAAAAAAACTTAAAGATATCAAAGACTTAAAGAGCTAAGCCTATAAAACTTTTTAAATAAATCCTAGAAGTCTTAATAGCCTCCAGTTAAGCAATGATTTCTTAGAACAAAAGCACCAGCAATGAAGAAAAAAAAGAGAGGCACACTGGACATCTAATTTAAGAACTTAGGGTTTTACAGGAAGACAATCTGCAAGTTGAAAAAACATAAATCCTATCTGATATGGGACTTGTGTCTGTAAAGAACTATCACAAAATCTTAGCACAACCCAGTTTAAAAAATGCGCCAATGATCTGAATAGCCCTTTCTCCAAAGACGATGTGTAAGCAGGCAACACAACATGAAGATACTCAACATCACTGGCCATCAGGAAATGCAACAACGAGGGGTCACCTCACGTTTATTAGAATGGCTGTATCAAAGAGAAGGGTAGTTACTATTAATGAAGCTGTGAAAAAACCGCAACTCTCACATACTGCTGGCAAGAATGTAAAAAAGGTACGGGTACTTTGGAAAACTTTCTGGCAATTCAGTCAAACACAGAGATACCACTCGATCTAGCCATTCTACTCCTAGTTATATACCCAAGAGAATACAAATATAGGTCTACACAGAAACTACATGAAATTTCATAGCAGCATTATTCCTAATTGCCAAAAACTGGAAAAAAATTCAGTGTCCAACTGATCAAAACATGGTTTGTCCAAACAAGGCAATAACCTGCAATTTAAAAATGCACTACCCACCCACAATCACCACGAAAGAACCCGGTCAACAGTCTAAATGAAAGCCAGTCACAAACACATTATATGATTCCATTTATAGGAAATGTCCGAAATCGGCAAATCCATAGAGCCAGAAAATACACGAGTGGTTGCCCAAGGTTGGGGTGCCATGGGGAGACAGTTGAGGGACACCTTCAGGGCATGGGATTTGTCCTGGAGGTAATGGAAATTTGTGAAGGACTGTGTTGAATGCACAACTCTGAATATACTAAAAAGTAGTGAAATGTAAAAATTTTAAAAATTATCTGGAAACCTAAGTGCCCACTATATCCCAACTGTGGCAGATACATATTTAATTCATCTGGATCATGAGTGATACAATGAGGATCACATAGGAAAGAACCACGAAAAGAACTGGAGAGTCTCACCTTCCAGTCATGCTGTCAGATCCCTGACAGATTCCAATTTCTGTATCTAACCTAGCCAGTCCCTAAACCCTCCACTACTGAATCAAGAGTCTCAAATCCTTGGTCATCTTCTACATCTGGTCGGAGGTCCATGACCAATGTCTCCAAGACAATTTGCTGCTCTCGACATGGTCATCCTGATAAAATCAATCTGAAGAGTGACTGAAGATTCTCTATTACAGATGGGAACACTGCCGGCTCATAATAGCCGAATTCCTAAAAATACACGATCATATATCCCTCTTACATACCAGGTCTCCTTAACTAGGTGAACATCTGTTTAAGCGTGGAAACCAGGTCTTCTTTATGACCCATGGCCAGTGCATAACAGATTCAATTATTTATACCTAGCCTTAATCAGACCAAACAAGCATAGAGGAAGGCACCATAGAATTCCAAGGGGGAGGGGAATTTTCCATTTCCTTATGTTTATTATTTTTGAATCAAGACTGAGGTTTTCCTATTAAAATGAAAAATGCTCAGATGATTCTCCATTCAAGGATCCTCAGGTTCTATTAGAAATCTGCGAGGGAAGAGAAGGTGGCATCACAGGACCATGTGGCATTACAAGTTGTTTTTTTAACCCTTCCTAAAAGGAGTTAGGTTTTATCATAAAAAAAAAAAAAAAAAATCCAAAAGAAAAACCCAGGTAGTAGCTTTTAAGATTCATGCTTAGACAAGAAGAAATGTGTAATTTAAGGACGGTCTACTTCCCAGGCCCTAATCTCTTCCACCCTCACAGCAACCCTGCAAAGGAGATGGCTACCTCCCTTCATCACAAGGAAGGGGAGTTCTGAGACCTTCAACAGCACAGCAGAGCGAGAACTAGAACTCCAGCCTCCCTCAGGCCAGCTCTGCAGTCTCTGCTCTACTCCAACAGGTGCCATTCCACTGGCTTCTCACTCACCTTGGGAAGTTACCCCTCTGCTTTCATGGAGATTAAAGATCCTCTACGTTCCATTCTTGGACACTCCTACTGAGGCGGCCCTCACACCCAACTGCATCATGTTGCCCCAGGGGGGCAAGCACATCACCCTTCCAGGTCTGTGAAGCAGAGACTGGCTGGACACCTCCACCTTGGAGTAACAAGGACTCCTACACCTTCTCCAAGTCTACAGAACACTTGGCCTCTAATCTGTACCTGCTCCCCAGCACATGCCACCTCGCTTCCTCTGGGCTGACCCAGAAACAGCCAAGTTATGCAGGCAACATCCTTACAGAAGGATCAGGATCCATCGCATCCCTTTGAGGCAGAGATCAAACTTAACCATTGAAAAGAGAACTTTGGATCCTCACCTCTGCTAGAAAGGCCCATGGAGATCCTCTGCTCCAGCCACATTAGTCTGTTCTCTGCACCTCTCCACCCCACCCCCCAAAATTGCATTTTCCTGCATTTCTCTTCTGACCGTCCACACCGTTCTTCCTGTTTAGTATGTCAGAAGGACTTCCTGACCTGCCAGAATTCTGGCCCTTCCAGAGTTGCCACTCCGTATGATCTTCCCTAACCACTGACCTAGTGTACTGAATTGCCTTTACATAGTTCTGCTTTAGATAGGTCCACCTAAATAGGTAAAGGAAGGTTTATCTGAATTCAGGATCCCCAGAAGCAGACTCGGACATGTGAATTTGAGAATAAGTGATTTCCCAAGGAAGTGCTGGGGGGGGGGGGGGGGGGGGGGGGGGGGGGAAGGGCAGGACATGGAAGCCTCAGCCTAATTCCAGGTAGCACTGAAGAATTAAGCTGAAGAGGTGGTCTGGCCTTAAGGCCCCCAAGGCAAAGGAACTAGGCTTCCCAGCTCTCACATTGTCAATCATGGGCGACAGGCTGCCTGGGGGACCCGTGAACTCCCAGACACTTCTGTTCTCCGTATAGTGGCTACAGAGGCACCTATCTCTGTGGTACTACTCCTTCCTGCCCACCCTAAACTCCTCAGCCCCCTCCCCACACACAACATGCCAACCACTGATCCCACCCACCTTTTCCTTCCCCAAAAATCATAGCAAGTGATTTCTGGAATACCCTTCTTTCCACCCCTTACTGCTCATTCAGCCTGTCGAATGAATACTCACTTTCCTTTATACGACCACCATCCTTTCTGAAGCCTTCCTTAGTTTACCACAATCCTTCAGAATGGACTATTACCTTTACTCCTTAAACACACATTTCTACAATACTTTGTGACATTTGTCCATCTTCCCTGCCTTCTGAGATCCTTACAAAAGAAATTTTGTATTATTCACCTTAGTATTCCCAGCGTCCAGCACAGTTCCTACACAGAGTAAAAGTGAAGTCTAACTTTGCTTGAGGACCTCAAGCCAATATGACAGAGGATATGGTTTCATAGGAGCCAAGTCTGCCAGAAGACAGAAGATAGGCAAGAAAGACACTTAGGAGTTGTCCTTGGAGAGTCAACAAGAAAGCCACTTTGCCCAAAGTAAGTTCTTAATGCAGGGAACATTCACCAATGTGTTCAACAGCAACAAGGCTTCAGCTAGCTACATGCTCTCAGAGATACAACCTCTCAATTCCAAGGCACTTTGTGTAGTCCGTTAATTTTAAGTAGACTTTCAAAAGTACAGCTTACCTGTGTTCCAGCTCTCGAATGGAGAGGATCACTCCTGAAGTCGATGGCTTTTGCTGTACAGTGGCCAAAAAGGTGAAGTCACTCTTATTCCGGAACAGCTGGATTAATTTCTTACTCACATGAGGGGCTGCATGGATCTCCCTTTCTGAATCTAGGAGTCAAGGAAACACAGAAACAGAAGGGGACAGAGAACGAGGAGGAGGAAAAGACGACAGAAGGAAGGAGAGGGAAAGTAAGAAAGAGAAAAGGTATACAGTTAGAAATGTCCAGAGGATCCAGGTTGCCTTTTTCATCCCACCCCACCCCTGCACCTTGCCAATACTTTATCTTTTCAGGCACCTCCCACCCCTCCATCCAGCAGCATTCATTCAACACAAAACCCAGAAATGCCACCTCTGTCACTGTACCCACTTGTCATTTTGACAAATTCATAGTTGGCCATCCAGTGATTTTCTGACAAATTTTGATGGGACACTGAGCAATGTGGCCGACTACAGATTAAGTTGCTGTAAAAAAGGTGAGAAACAATCAGATAAATGGATCCTGAATTCAGAGAATCCTGTGTTTATAGCAGCACCCAAATGCCATTCAGCAGGCTCCAGCTGCACTTTTCCCCCATGGTTTCTTTCTCTTCATGATGTGTAGAGGGAAACTTGTCCTTGCTTTGTACCCAGCAGAGATTTACTAGTGTTAATAATGCCAGACAATTCCACTTTTGCTTAAAGAATACAAGGCATGTGCATGATCCATAAGGGTGCCTGGAACTTCTCTGTAAACATGGAGTAGATGACTCTGCTCATGACATATTAAAGTGGAGGCCAATTCAATAGGCCTCGAGGCGCATGAGTCCAGCTAATTCTGCTCCTGGCCAGGAATCTCTTTCTCCAAGTTCTGCATAATGGGACATTTATCATTTCATATCCGACCCTCCCCCGACCCCCCAATTGTAAGAAACTAGGTGTTCTCGTTATTGCACACCTCACTTCAAGTCAGAAACGGACTACCAACAGAGCAGAATTAAAGGAAACTATTCAGAGGATAACAAATGAATACCAAAGGTATGTTTGGTTCCTCCTCTCGTGCCCTGACCCCATCCATCCTCTGTAGAACTTTGTTTTTCAGACTCCTGGAGAAATAACCAAGACCTTCAAAAGCTCTGTGGCCCAAGCAAATCACAGACTACATGGACCTTGAAGAACCTCATCCTAAAGAGTGGCTTCTAACAGAAAGGAAAAAAAAAAAAAAAAAAAATCAAGTTCTTGACCTTAGGCCTCGGTCTTCTCTTCTATAAAATGGGGCAGGGGGTAGGTGGTAGGGGAGGAGAGGTGAACTAGGCAATTTCTCAGGCCTCTCCATCCTTGTGTAATTCTACAAGTTGCTCTTTGAAGTTTGCAGCACAGCAAAGACCACAATCTTCCAGCTGTAGAAGTCTAGGCTATGGAAGGCAGGAAGCAAGGTTGGTCCTCTATCTTGGAGGCACCTAACCCAGGCAGAGGACCTTACCCACATAAAACCCACCTAGGACATTTGCTTTTCTACCCAAAGAAAGGCCTTCACTACTCTGTTAAGTGGCAGGCTTTTAGCTTTCGTCAAGGGCGGAGATAAGAGCCACTTAGGGAATGCTTCTATACCTCCTACAAAATCCCAAAGACTTTGCATGATAATATTCATGATCTATTAAATGTATGAAGTAATCACTTTGTAAACTAGAGATCATTAGCAAATGTTTGTTAACATTTTTATACTGCTAGGTACAAGTCCTAATAAATTCCACCTAGAATTTAGTGCCAGGCACACGCACACACACACACACACACACACACACAGCTCTTGGGATTAACTTACATGTTTACTTTTTCCCTTTTTGCGGTTTCCTTCTTTATTCATCTATTAGGAATTAACTGATTGGCAGCGTTGGCCCAGAGAGCTCGTCAGAGGTTCTGAAGCTGGAGCCCAGTGCAAAGGGGACAATGATCAGTCAGCCATGATATTGATAGCTCTTTCCTCCGGCAGGTACAACATCAATGATCAGTGTCCTCACCTCTCATTCCGTTCTCTCGGACATCATTCCAGCTCCATGGCCAATGCCACTCAAGTGTATATCTACCACCCCAATCTCTCCCTTAACCAACAGACACATTCAATATCCTTAATATCTCCACATGAAGGTTTAATAAGCATTTCAGATTATATATGCCCAGGACAGAGCTCTTGTTCTCCCCCATGCCCAGCCCTCTATTTTCTCCTGGAGTTCCCAGTTTAGTAAATGGAACCACCCAATTTAAGCCAAAAAGACCAGAACTTGTCCTTGAATCTTCCTTTTCTTCTACCCTCCAGATCCAATCCAAGAGCAAATCATGAGGACTCCCAGGTCTGGAATCTGTCCACTTCCCCCCCCCACCAACTCCACTCAAACTCTTCTCCAAGCTGCCATCATCTCTTACTGGGGCACCTCCAACAGCCTAACTGGCCTCCCCGCTTCCATATTGCCTTGCCTTCTCCATTCTCCACAGCAGCTCAAGAGCTCATCTTAAGACCTAGATCAGCATCCTCTACATTCTCTTGCTAAAAACCCTCCATGGCTTCCCAGTTCTCCCAGGATACAAATCCAGGCTTTTGAGCATGGCCTGCAAGGTCACACACCAATGGACTTGCCTACGTCTCCTGCCCAATTTCATCCTCTTCTTTCACACCCAAGCCCAATCCTGCCTCAGGGTTTTTGCACTACTCTTCCCTTTACCCACAGAGCTCTCCCCCACTCTTCCCATGCCTTCCTCCTTCAGCTCTAACTGCAAATGCAACCTCCTGGTCCTTCCCTCCAAAGCAGGCTCCCCAGTAATAGTGAACACACCACCCTGGTTATTTTCTCCACACCACTTAATTATTGTAATCTTTCTTTGTATGACTTATGCTCTTATTTCATGTTTGTTATATTTTTTTTTACTGTATTTCCTTTCTCTCCCCTCTAGACTAGAAGCTTCAAGGGACAGGCAGATTTATTTAGTCATTGTTATAGTCAAAGTTCTCAGTGCCTGGCATAAAACAGGCATCCAATAAAGACTTCTGACTTTATTTTCACTTTTATCATGTATATTGTTATTTCAAAGAACCACAAATATTAGTCAGAAAATAGGATACTTTTTGGAAAAGGAGAAGATAAATGGTAGGTGTCAAGTGTCAGTGGTTATAAGTTTAAAGAAAAGCATGTTCAGGACCAATTCAGTCCCTCCTATTTATAGGACACCCCATCTAACAATCTAATCCAATACAACCACACTGCTACTCACCCAACCCCGCCCCCCCCCCACAAAACTGAACATTTCCTCTGCCGGCTTGTTTCTCTTTGTAAATGATTGGCACCTTGAAATAAAGAGACCCCATTAGCACTCACCAGAGTGAAATGTAAAAAACATCTATTTTCATACATGGAGACGTTATGTGCACTCTCATTTTCAGAAAAGCTCTTTCAAGTAAATGCTTACCATAATTCAGCTGCCAAAAGAACACCAGAAAGTAATTTCACTTCTTAACACAGAGGCAAGAACACTGGACAGGTTTCAAGGGACTGAAGACTACCAAGGTTTGCAGATAACTAGATGTGTGACCTTGGATACGACACCTTGCCTCTCTAAGCCTAATACTCCATATCTGAAAATGGAAGTGATTGGAGATCATGGAGTTCAAGTTCTTTCCAGGACTCAACAGTTCATTTCTGTTCATCACCTTACCCTGCTCCTAGCCAACCAGCAAAGGACGGGACTGAAGGTGTTTTCTACATATGGAACACGTAGATGCTACAATTCTTCTCCTCTGATTTTCCAAATCAACATAAATGTAAAGTTGTCAATTACTGGAACCAGTGTGTTGAACACAATTAAAAAAGGGCTGAATAAACATGTTACCATGAATAGAATGGGGTGGGAGAACCAAGTCAAACAAATCACAGCACCTTCAAAGTGAGAGCTATGTCATCCCTAAATCAGATACCTATCTTTGACACTCATTCCATTCCCATTCCGGCCCCACGTGTACTCTGCCTGAGAAACGCTAATCAAAGCCATCACTACTCAACAGACTGTTACCTGCAGCTGGGACCAAGAGTACTTGCCTTCTCCAAGAGTGGAAACACACTGGCATCAGGCACCTCCTATCCGCTGAACCCCACCTTTTTAGAACCTCCGCATCAGCAAGGAATTTGACAGGGCAAAGACTGAACGCACGAACGCAAAACCCAGGAGTCTGGAAGGGTGGCCCATCCTTCCCCCAGCATGGACCCTATCCTAATCCATTTCTTTCCCCTGCTTTCTCCTGGACATTTTGGATTTATTTAATACACATGATTCAAGCATCTGAATTTGGTGGATGAAGTGGTTTTGTGACCTCTGGGAGCATTACTTGGAGGCTACCATTCCATCAAGGTAATTGCCCAAACAACGACCACCACTTACAGAGAACATTTTACGTTTTAAAAAAAAAAAAAAAAAAAAAGTCATCCTTTCAAACATCTAGAAGTTTTACGTGATCTAGTTAAGAAGTGCTCAATCAGCAGGAAGGGTTAAGTGTTTTCTTTCCTAGGAAAAAATGGCTCTACCTAGTCATTTTTAAAGACTAAAAATGCCAACGTGATGATTACGCATCATTTTCAAAAAAGAAAAAAGTATTGGGTGAAGGGAAGAGACTGAAGAAATTAAATGAGGATATTCACATACTCTTCTCTGCCTGTTACAGAAGCAGCTTCATTTCCCTTTTGCCTGATGACAGGGTTAGGATTTTCATTGTCCAACATACCTGTGTTTCCTCTGTGCCAGGCACTGTGCTTGCTGGGCACCAGGGAAACCAGCAGAAACAGCTCCTGCCTTCGAGGACAGCTACAGAAGGCTGTCACATGGGGAGGACAGGGAGAGGAGGGCAATGCACAAACGAAGGAGGGGGCCAGTGGAGGCTGGGAAGGACACAGTGGAAGACAGAGCTTTGAGCCAGAGTCAAAAAAAAAAAAAAAAGGATGAATAAGCATTTACCAGGTGGAGGGGGGAGGGCACTCGTTGCGGGATTGCTGTGCGGATGTGAACACCCATGTGTTTTCCATTATCTTGGCATTTTTCTTTCTCTGCAAGCTTCTCTCTCCCTAGAATGTCAACAGGACAGAAGCTA